AAAAAAAAAAAATATTAGAAAGTTAAATTTTCATTCGAAGAAAAATGCAAAAAATTCACTGTTAATAAATCAATTGTCTCCCTTTGGAGTATGGACCCCACGTTGGGAACTACGGGTCTGGACACATTGTATTTCTTAAAATTAGTTGCTGGTGTTACTCAATTGGCAATTGCGTTTCAATTTCAAGCACTAGTTCTAATTGTTTCATTTACATTGTGTTTGTCTCGATCTCGAAAAATATCAACATATTGATCATTGAAACCTCCACAATTTTTAAACGGACATTGCATATTCTTGTGCTACGAATTAATCACATTCACACAAAACATTATTCAGCATCTGACATGCCATATCGTCGTTCGTCAAATGTCTCGATAGCGTTTTATATAGAAAAAAAAATAGCAAGTTTCGTTCATATTTCATATTTTTCGAGATGTTTGGATGTTCCTAATCAAGACGTGCTGCATAATAATAATATTTGTAATAAACATTCAACACAAATATTTTGCATTTCTTTCGAATTACATACACCCGTCCCTCAATTTACGCGACACTTTTTTACGCGAGTATTTGTTTTACACGGCAAATTTACCTCAATTTTACCACGCGGTCAGATATGTATATACATACATATTTTCCTATAAGTTTTAAAATTGACAGTTTTATACAGTCTAGCAGATCGTGAATTAACCGATACTGAATTAATAAATATCATATCTATAACAGATTCATTCACTGCGGAAAATCTTTGTGAAGCTCTCGAGTTTGAGCCAAAAAATTGGAATATGCCATTATAGACATTGATCCAAACATTCAACGAGCCTTAAATTTTCGTCAAGATTTAATGAAATGTTGCAGCGAATATCAGCAAATTTATGAAAACTTGGTAACAGAAAATATTGAGAGAAACTCATTCCGAAAGGATTTACACTCACAATGAAAATGAAGACGAACTTGCAAATATTTCAAGCGATGAGGATGATGAGTTTATCCCAATTAAAAAGAAAAGGCTTATTGTTTTGAATCGAATAAAACTCACATACATTCTGTTTTCTGAAATGTCTTACTTATTTTTTTTTTTTTGTTAAGTTATGTGAAATAAACACGTACACTGTATTTCTAAAACTTTCACTAGCTTTTATTTTCCAATATTTTCCCTTTTGTACTGACAGATTCAATTTACACGATTTTTATTCGCGTAAATCAAATCCACGTGGAACGGATACTCGCGTAAATTGAGGGACCGGTGTACATCATGATAATTGGTCGTCGTTCCTTTGCCACGTCGTCTAGAACTCTAGATCCACGTTGCCATACAGTCTACAAAGGGAAAGGGGAATTATCTTATCGTTCGATTTGTAGCGCGTAGTACATAGTACAATCATCATAACGGTACGAAGAATTTATTAATATTTTGAGTCTACGTTTACGACGATGTCTTTGCATCTCATTTTCATCAGCTAATGCAATGAGAATGTGTCTATGTTTTTCGGTAGTCGATCGGATGGCTGTTTTCTTTCAATTTGTGGATATTGCGCCAATAACCTTTTCGCTCCGAAAAACGAGTATGTACGTGGCCAAATAATAATAATTTTTTTTAAAAATTCGCTTCCAAATTGCAGAGTTTTATTATTGTGATAAAATAATCTTGTTTCAAAGTTACAAGGTTTGGAGACAGAAACACTCACAATCAAAGTCGTACGTACTCGATCACCCATCGGAGCAAAAGGGGGTAATTACGTCCGTCTAATATGAAATCTCTCTCCGAGCCTCTTCCTCTCGCGTCAGAAGAATCAACGAAGCGAGGAACGCGTGTTTCAGGACCAAGCGACGGAGGTGATCCTGACGCTGGGCCAGGCGTTCGAGGTGGCCTACCAAATGGCACTGCGCGACAAGCTCGGCAGCCACACGGTGCGGTCTCAGTCGGCCAATCAACTGACCACGTTCGCGAAATCGTCCAGGGTGCCACCAGTGTCGCCAGACTCGGTGCTGTTGGACGTAAGTCGCGAATCGCCGATGGACCAGCCGCCGGCATCGGTCATCGTTCCCGTCGCGAACTCGATGAACCCGAAGCCGAAGCCCCGCTCCAAGTCGTCCATTCCGAATCCGACGCAAGACGGAAACTCCAACTCGAGTTCCCTGTCCGGCGGCACGGTGAACTGCACGAGCTCGGGCTCGAGCTCGAACCCGGCCACCAGCCCCAGCGCCAACTCGGTCAGCAGTTCCAATTCGAACGCGAGCACGAACCAATGTACGACGAAGCCGCTGGTCACGCACGGTAGATCCCACTCGGTGAACGACATCAAAGTGAACGGGAACCAGTTGAAGTTGGCGCCAGCGCCGGTCGACGACATCGGTATCGGCGTGAAAGACATGAAGCCAGGCTCCAGGGCGCCCATTGCTTTGTCCGAGGAATTGTAGAGGGATTAACTATATAACACGTCGTCGGGGTTAATCGTTGGAGATCGGCTTCGGTGAAGCGCAGAGACGCGGATCTATCTCGAGGCAAAGAGAAAGATCGTTCATTCACGTGCACGACGGATTCGAAAGATCCCGAGAAGCGAACATTGGTCCAAGAGGGATCTCTCTGTTCGCAGAGAACAAGCATCGTAGGTTGTTTTTTTTTTTTTTTTTTAAATTGTATCTTTCGGGTGTTGGAAGATCGTGCGAGATTTTGTAAAATTATTTGGACTAATAATTGTAAGATCCATTTTGGGAATTTTGCTGCTGCTCGACGGTTGAGTTTGGCGGTCGAGCTAAGCTCGAATCGTTCGATTTTTAAGATTAACCTTCGTAGACATTTGTTGCCACGGGACGCTAGACACGTTCGCCGTGTCTTTTTATCTCTCGAACTTTTTCCGATAGCATCCTAGACGAACAGGTGTTCCGGTTGCTTCGTCCCGAAGCGAAAGATTTGATCGTGGCTCAGGTAAGTAAGAGATCTTTGCCAAATTCTGCACCGGCCACGAAACGGTGACGCTGTGATTTTCCACATCGAGGGCATTAACGAACCGACGAGAGCTCGTTCGAAATGGCAAGGACAACCATGCGCTCACGTTTTCGCGCATATGTATTTTATTACACGCCGCGCAGTTCAAGAAGCAAAGACGCAGAAGCAACGAATCGAACCAGATACTTTCATCTCACGTTGGATGGAACGGTATTATTCGACTGAATCGAAGCTCTTCGTCGCGAAGCGGACGTTTTCTGGATCTTACGCTCTTACGTTTTGCCAGTAAGGGGAAGAGAGCGTCACTAACTCAAACAGTCACATCGACGTCTCGCCTAAAGTAATTTTAAACGAACTAGAAAAAAAAACTGAAGAGAAGAAGACAGAAAAAAAAAGAAATATGCGATTTTTTTTTTTTTAAGATTTCATTGCACACGAAGCATTGTATTGCATTTAGAAATGATACATTTACACACACGTAGACATCACATTCCTAGGACGAAAGGACGTGCAGGTGAGTCGACAAAATTCGCGAATGCTCAATTTTTTGATCGCGTGCAATCAAATTACAAAAAAAAAAAGAAAGAAA